ATTGCAGGCAAAATTAATGGCTGAAGAAGCATCTTATCCAAGTCAGGGTACCCCTGCTTCTTTCTTGAGGGGTGAAGGTGCAGTGGGGAGCTCCAGCTCGGTTCTTTTTGCTGCGAGAGAGGCTTCTAAGAAGAGGGTTGAAGCTGCCACAGCGGCCACCAAGCGAGCTGAAAATATGGATTCCATCGTAAAAGCAGCAGAACTGGCATCAGAGGCGGTTTCACAAGCTGGAATACTTGTTTCAATGGGTCATCCTCCGTTGCTCAATAAGCTGGTGGAGGCGGGTCCTAGTAATTACTGGAGGCAGGCTCAACAATCTCAGGAAGTGGAGCCCTGTAAAACGGGTATGTTAGAAAAAGAAACTGTGGCTACTAATGATGGAACTTTTGTTAGTCCCAGAACTGTGCCGACTGAGTTGGATGGCTCTGTGCGAACGGCAGATGGTGTATTTGGTCCATCTGGAAAGAAAACAAAGGGAGAAAAGGGTCATAAAGGTGCAGACTTGGCTAAAAACAATGCTGTAGTTTTTGAACCAGAAGTTGGGTCAAAATCTCCAATTGACACCCAAACTAAAGGTGAACAGATTATCAAAACAACAAACGATGAGGACATCAAGGAGGGTTCTAGTGTTGAGGTTTGTGGTACAGTTTCTTATATACAGCCTATAACTTACTGGTCGTGTTCCTTCTGTAATGGAGATCAAATTTCCTATTCAGGTTTTCAAGGATGGACCTGGACTAAGAACTGCATGGTACTCTGCTACTGTATTGAGCTTAGAGGATGGTAAAGCTTATGTGCTGTTCAATGACCTTTCTGTAGAACAAGGTTTGTTTATTTACCACATGGTTTTCTACACGTTGTCCTTTGAGTGCTCTGTATTTGATAGTTAATGGCTTGGCAAGCCGGAGGTCTTTTTTAAACTTATCTATCATCAACAAATCTTTTACTTCACAAACTGCTCCAAGTATAATATATATATGATTAATATATTCATTATCATATCATGTGCATGTGCAATTTCCTTGAAAGGATGCAAAACTGATTATTGAAGCTCCTATGAAGAAGGTCCACTGCTTTATTAGTTGATTTTTTAATCGTTTGTCAGGATCAGATAAGCTGAAGGAGTGGATAGCCCTCAAAGGTGAAGGTGGTGAGGCCCCTAAAATAAGAACTGCTCGTTCTGTTACTGCCTTGCCATACGAAGGAACCAGAAAGAGACGTAGAGCTGCCATTGGGGATCCTGCTTGGAAAATTGGGGATAAGGTAGACTCGTGGGTGCATGACAGGTAATCGCTGTCTCTATTACCTGCTGTTTTAATCCTTTCTCCTTAAAGTGATCAGCCCAAAACACATTATCTTAAATTATTTTCAATTTTCAGTTTTGTAAAATCTTATTCATTCCACGAGCTTTGGAAGCTTGATCTATATTTTTTTGTTTTCCGTTTTCCGTCAGTTGGTTGGAGGGTGTTATCACGGAGAAGAACAAGAATGATGAAAATACAGTGACTGTACATTTCCCTGGTGCGTGGAAACGTCAATATGCCTAATGAAGTTATCTCATTTTCGTGCTCTTAGCTGCTTGTCTGATCCACTGTGCTCAAAACTTTCTTATTTGAAAAAAAAAAATCTGCAGCACAAGGCGACACTTTGACGATCAAAGCTTGGAATCTTCGTCCTTCTCTGGTGTGGAAAGATGGAAGGTGGATTGAGTATTCTAGTTCAGGAGAAAACATCAGCTCGTCGTCACATGCGGTATTATCTCGCTTTTGTGGATCTCTAGAGGTTCTCTTTTGGATGATTTGTCTGTTTTGTAAAACTGAAGAGTTTGAATTGCAGGGTGATACGCCAAAGGAGAAGCGTCCTAGATTAGAACCTCCCGCTACTGTGGCTGAAGTAAAAGACACGAGTAAGAAGATTGTTGGTGATCCGGACTTAGGAAAACTGCCTCAGACCGGTGTCCTTGACCTTGGTGTTTCAGTGAATACATTTAACATTGGAAGGAGTAGCAGAGAGGAGGACAAACCCGATCCACTCCGAGTGAAGAGAACCGGTTTGCAAAAGCAGGGATCAAAAGTGATATTTGGTGTCCCTAAACCTGGAAAGAAAAGGAAGTTCATGGATGTGAGCAAACACTACGTTTCAGAGGCGAGCAATAAAACTCGGGAACCAGTTAAGCCTGTGAAATCAATTGTGCCCCAAAATTCAGGAGCAGGGAGCTGGAGAATGCCTTCTAAAACTGTATCCAGAGAGAAACAGACAACAATATCGAAGCCCAAGACTTTCAAACCGGCGCCCAAGACGAGAGAGAAACCGGGTGCTGCAGGTAGGGTAATGCCCCGCAAGGACTCACGAAATACAGCAGCCTCAAATATGGAATCTGATGATCAGAGTGGAGAGAACAAGGATCCTGCATCTGGAACAAGTGCTAGTGTTCCATCCCAAGGAACAGCGGAAGAGCAAACCACATCATCCTCTCAGGATACTCGTTCCAAGAATATTTCCTCCTCAAGCAATAATAAAGGAAAAGTGGGCCCAACTGCAGGAAGGTTAGTAAAGATCGAAGAGGAAAAGGCGTTGGCTGAGAGTTGTTCAAAAGCATCAGATGGGGGAATGGAGCCTCGTAGATCTATCCGCAGGATTCAGCCAACATCTAGAGTAAGTTTATTACATATATAACGTGGAAATTGCATAAATGATCCTGTTATCGCTTTGTTTGAACTTGTGTGTTGCTCTACAGCTACTTGAAGGTATACAAACATCGATGATGACCTCGAAGATACCTTCTGTATCACACAGCAGAAGTCAAGGGAAAAAGTAACTGTAGAGGTGATGTTATATAATATAGAGAGAGTGTAGAAGATAAATTGGGAGAGGCAAAACCATATTGAGCTGAGAGTGTTGATGTTTGTTGGCAGGCAAGTAGGTGGTGGAAGCAAGTGCACATAAAAGGCAAGCCGGGAGAGAATGAAGAAGAAACCCAAGCTGGGGACTGTTTAGGTTGTTTTTTAATTTAATATCATGCTCGAAACAAAACAAAAAACACTTACTTTGTTGGTTGGGAGAGATGATGATGATGTTATTTTAGGTGTGCTTTTGATTATTATCATTTATCTCTCGAGATAAGAAGCAGTTTGTATATGTTTTAGGAACAAGACTTCTTTCTATATGCCAGTTATCATCATCTATTATGGTTTTGTATACCTTTCTTGTTGTCCACTAGGCTTTTTACCCCACCTTAAGCCCATTAGGATCAGACATTTAAAGCCCAAACATTAATAATCCCAACCTTCATTTCGTCGCCTTCTCTGATCACTCTCTCCTCTATTTGATGCACTGTAAATTCTTCCTTCTCTCGGTATCACTGGGAATTAGGGTTTCTGTTCTCAGTTTGCTTTGGTCATCGACAATGGCTATGGCCTCAGAGATGTTGCGTACTTTCAGTGCTCGTGCCAAGCCTGTTCCACTTATAATCATCCGAAGATTCTCATCGCTTTGGTCAACAAAGAAAGACCCTGATCTCGAATCTGCTCTCTCGCGCAACAAGAGATGGATAGTTAACAGTCGGCTCAAGAACATTATCTTAAGATGTCCCAATCAGGTCGCACCGATTAAGTTTCTACAGAAGAAGTTTAAGACGCTTGATCTTCAGGGGAAGGCCGTGAACTGGCTTAACAAGTATCCCTGTTGTTTCCATGTTTATCTCCAGGACGATGAGTATTACTGTCGTTTGACCAAACCCATGATGACTCTTGTCGAAGAAGAGGAGCTGGTTAAAGATACACAAGAGCCTGTCTTTGCCGATAGGCTGGCTAAGCTGCTTATGATGAGTGTTAATCACCGCCTCAATCTTGTCAAGCTTAATGAGTTGAAGCGGAGCTTTGGCTTCACAGATGATTATGTTATCAGGATACTACCTAAGTACTCTCATGTGTTTCGATTAGTGAATTATAGTGGTAGGAAGAGTTCTATGGAGATCGAGCTTTTGTCGTGGAAGCCTGAGTTGGCTGTTTCTGCAGTGGAAGCCGCAGCCAAGAAATGCGGCTCTGAGCCTAGTTTCTCTTGCTCTTTACCCTCCACATGGACCAAACCGTGGGAGAGGTTCGTTGAGTTTAATGCTTCTCCTTACATATCTCCATATCAGGATCCTGCGGATATCATCGAGAGTGAGAAGAGAAGCGTTGGTTTGGTGCACGAGTTACTCTCCTTGACGCTGTGGAAGAAGCTTTCAATGGTAAAGCTGAGTCATTTCAAGAGGGAGTTTGGGTTGCCAGAGAAGCTAAATGGCATGCTTCTGAAACATCCAGGTATATTCTACGTCGCCAACAAGTATCAGGTTCACACTGTGCTCCTTAGGGAAGGATACAATGGCTCAGAATTGATTCATAAGGACCCGCTCGTTGTTGTCAAGGATAAATATGGAGAACTGATGCAACAGGGCTTGTATGAGTACAATCGTAGGCGATATCTGGCTAACCTAGAGAAGAAGAGAGAGAAAGGTATTGAATCTGTGAAGCATCTAGTGCGAAAGAAAGGCAGGATTGACGATGGAGACAGTGGTGATGAACAAGAGAATCATGGGGATCGACCAGGCGGTATGTTTGATCCAGAAGAGAGAAAAAGGTTCTATCAGATTCTCTTCAGTGACACCCAATAAGAGCATTCTGGTGAAGCTGGGAAAACTTTGTGCTTAGAATTGCTTAATCTCAATAACACTTGGGGCAGACAGCTTGTGAAAACAAGTTGTATGATTACGATCATATCGTGAAAGCAAGTTTTCCCTAAGAATCACTTCTCCAGTGAAAAAATCTAGCTACGGTCACTGATAGAGCCTCAGCACAACCTCAAGGAGCAGCCGAGCTCTCTTTCTCAGGGTACACTCTGCTGCACCCATTTGCTTTTGCTCCTTTGTTTTGAGATGGTGCGTGCAGGCACATGATTTCGCGCATTGACATCTGGGTCCTTGGATCTTTATCAAGTAGGAACCTTTTGATTTGAGTTCCAACAATTCGAATGAAATCTGGAAACAAGGATTGGTAACTAGCTGGGCTAAAGAACTGAAAACATGCAGCTGCATTTGAATTAGAAACTTTATAAACCTAATGTCAAGTTGCATCAGTAATTTAGTTCCTGCTTTTGCTTTCTATGTGAATGCCAGTATCTATAAGAGTTAACACTTTGTATTACATCCCTATATATAAAACAAATTATCTTTTCTTTTGAGTTTTCCTTTTTGTCGACTATTTCAAATAGCTAATGGCACATAAGAGTACAAGAACTTGGAGGAAATTATGAGAAAAATAATGAAGGTAAGAAGTATGGGTAAAGAATGTGGATGAGACATGCGGGGGGAGTCTGAGTAATCAGAAGTCGGCAGATCCAGGTGAGCGCGGGAAAGGAATAACGTCTCTGATATTATCAATTCCTGTGGCAAATTGGACCAGCCTCTCAAATCCTAGTCCGAATCCTGCATGAGGAACT